GATGGCTGACTGCACTGCTGTGGGTCCATGGTGAACTAGAACATCATGGTGGAAGGGTGTGAAAGAGGAATGCTGTTCAGCTCAAGGAAGCAGAGAGACAAGGGACCACAGGGAGGATGAACCCTTCAGGGGCATGCCCCCAGTGATCCACTTCCTCTAGCCATGCTCCACCTACCTTCAGTTACCACCCAGTTCGTCCATTCAAACTAGGATGGACTGATCAGTTTACAGCTCTCATATTCTAATCATTTCACCTCTGAATTATTCCTGCATTAACACAGGGATCAGTGGGGATGGGGTGAGGGGAACAACTCTATCCAAACCATAACAGTTCTACTGAGGGAGCCTATGAATCTGGTTAGTAATTCTAAATGTCATCAATGACAGAGTCTACCAAGCACTTTTAGAGAAGCAGTGTTTCATAATTACAGTGTTCTCTCCATTTCATTGAAGGATGGTTTGGAATCATAGCCCTGCCAAAAATATATCTGGGAAATAGGATTTTTTTTTTGGTCCAAAATATCAGCAATAGAAAGCATTAGTCTATAATCCCATATTTATGAGAGACTACAGACATATTTTCCATTTTGCCACCTTCTCTAAATGCCTCAGAGCATGATGCCTATGATGGCGAGCTGTGATATGAAGAGATTTATACTAAGATTTGTCAAGGCCTTAAAAAGACAAACAGAATATGTTAGAAAGGAAGCTTGTCTGTATCTTCACATATGTGAAACTGGAGTGAGCTTAGAATACTGGCAGTGGACAAAGCCTGTTCTCCTTTTCCTGGAAAAGTATAATGACAGAATGTGACAGGCAATGGAAGGTTACATATTTATCAATGCAATGCAGAGGTTTGGGGAAAGGCGAGTACCATTGTTCTGAAGCTGGATTCACAGATGATGCTGGTTTTGGTCCCCTTTGTCTACCTAGCTTTCTATGTATGTGCATTGTGGTAGAGGAAGGAGTAATAAAAATAAATGCCTTCCGTGGGAGAATAAGATCTGGATTATCTACCAATTAGATAATCATTCCCTGAACAGTCTAGATAAAATTTCATATTGATCTTTATAGGTCTCGTGAATGTAAATATTCAGTAGTTTAAAAGCAAATATCATTGGTAGTGGAGTCACAGGATTACAAGAATGTACCAATATATGGGAGAAATTTCTGCTGACCCTTGTGAAATACAATTCCCCAAAAGTCAGGAATTATTAAATCTGACTCCAGGCTCTGGAACGATGGCACTGTAATAGCCCCCTGATTCACATGGACCCCAGATGCATTTTGAAAAGCAATGTGAGTCAACATTAGACAGACTGATAAAACTTCTGGGACCAATATCATTTAACAAGACTTTGTTAAAAGAAAATTTCATTGACTTTTGCAGTGTGCCTTAAATTTTTGCTTACTGGACAAGATTTTACCTTTTTCCTTTTGGGCCAGTGCTGAAGGATTATTTCTAGGCACTCTTGGGCTCATGATGAAGTTAGACCAGGTAGAATGACCAGCCATAAACCTGTAAGATTTGTAATGTTCATTTTCCGGGATTAAACACATCAGTGAATGTTTTTTAACAACATTTCTTCAGGCTGACGATATCTGATTTTGCATTGACAGTGTCTTGAATCAAAACTATGTTTAATGTTCTTCTGGCCAAATCCTTTTTCTCAGGTGAATTACTGCAGCCCATAAATGGTCCATTCAGTGAAAATGGTTACCCATTTAAACTAGTGGGCTTAGAACAATGGAGGTACTTTATATTTAAGTACTTTGTGTTCCTGGATTCCTTTGTAGAATAAAAGTAGTCAATTTGCATTGATTTGCATATTTTAGACCTACTGGAAGATAAATTTATTCTTTATTCAATAAATACTAAAGGTGTAGAAAAAAGCCAAGAGAAATGCTCTGAGAGAGTTTATTGTGGAGATGAAATTGTGGAGATGAAAATCAGTTGCAGATTGTGATAAATGTTTGAAAGAAATAGGATTATGTAGAGAGAATACAGTTATTTGTGTGTTCAGAAAAGGCCTCTCTAAAAAGATCATAATAAAGCTATAACTTGAAGGATAAGAAATTAGCCATGTGGAGGCTAATTTGAGCATTCTAGGCAAAAATTATAGCAAGGACAAAGGTAGATTTTCCTAGCTAAGCTTAGGCGTAACATAGAAATACAGCTAGCAAGGCTGGAATGTGGCACAGGAGTCTCCCTTATCTGTGAGGGATTTGCTCCAAGATCCCCACTGAATATCTGAAACTGCTGACAACACCAAACCCTGCATATACTATGTTTTTTTCCTATACCCACATACCTATGATAAAGTTTGATTTATAAAGCATGCTAAGAGATTAACAGCAATATCTTAGCAACGCTTCACAACTTTTCTTGGGCATGTCCTAATTTCTGGCAACACTACTCTTTTGCTTTGGGAACATTACAAAGTAAAATAAAGGATACTTGAACATAAGCATGGAGATACTACAACAATCGGTCTGATAATTATGATGGCCATTAAGTGACTAATGTGTGGGTAGCATATAAAGTGCAGATACACTAGACAAAGGGGTGATTCACATCCCAGATGGAACATAGTGGGATAGTCCAAGATTTCATCATCTTATTTAAAATAGCACAATTTAAAACTTAATAATTTTTTTCTGGAACTTTCCATTTAATATTTCCGGACTATGGTTGACCTCAAATAATTGAAATCACAAAGTGAAACCACAGATAAAGTGGGGACAACTATAAATAGAAGGGAGAGCAGTAAGGCATGAGATCTGAGAGATACAATAGTGACAAGCTCACATAGAGCTTTGGAGGGCAGGATAAAAATTTAAGGTTTTGTGCTAACAGCAACGGGAAAACATAAGAACACTTTTTTTTAAGCAGGAGTGTGATGTGATCTAAACACTATTGCTTCTAGGAATGGGTAATCTTAATCAGAACAAAACTGATATTGAAAATGATATACCCCTAGGCTCAGTAACTTTTGTGAGAAGCCTACTTTCTTATGAAAATTTAGTTCAACTAGTGTTTGCCATCTATTTCATACTTAATGCCAGGCTCATGAACAAAAGAATAAGTTAAGATTACTAGAATTCAGAAACTTGACTCTACAGAGTCAGAATGCATCCCCGAGGAGGACTCCTAACTGATTCCAGTGTTCCAGGGACCCTGGGCAAATACCCTGCAGAGCTGAGATCTCACCTCTGAGGATGGAGGAGCTTGCTGGCCAGATCATGCTGGTCACTCAGAAGCTGCACAATGCTGCTGGTTCTGAGAGGCTAGAAAACCTGCAAATTGACTCCAACTGCTATTACTGGAGCCAGCTGATGCAGTCACAATTGCATAGGGGTAGTAGCAGAGCAGCTTCCTGTTTAAAGAGTGAAATGGAAGCTGTATGCATCACTTTCATGCATATCCTACTGGTCTAACAGATTTAAACAGGTTTGGAAACAAACATGACTAACCTGGTAATCATGCAACTCAGCTGGTGGGAGTTGAGGTGCACACGTGTTCAGCAGTCAGTAACATATGGACTTCCACCATCCAACAAGTCTTGGGCACTAATCAATCTTCTTTACAGATAATATGTAAAGTGTCTATTAATCTGGTAAAATCAGTGAGGTGATGTTTAGCCTGTGCATTCAGGATACTCTAACTTCTGGCAGCTCAAACCTCATCATTTGTCTCTATCAAATGTCTTTGCTCTTTAGAAAAGAATTTTCTTATGTGGTCTGAAGATAAAACATGGCTTGAAAGGGGGTGCAAAGTTAATAGGATGGATTAATAACCATAAACTGAAGTTACCAGCAGGAAAGTTCTTTTCAATTATCCTATCTCAACCTACTCTGAAGTCTTAAGAACCAATGTTAGGAGGGGTGAAAAGAGGTGGCTTCATAGAGATATGCATCAGGCCTTAGGAAGAAAACGTCTTGTTCTCTTCCTAAGGTCCAAGTGATAATCACAAGGGCCAAGATCATGTATGGTCCTAGGACAAGAGACCTAAGTAACAGACTGTCAGCCTTGCTCTTGTCCGGGTCTTGGGTTAGAAAAAGCAAAAGGAACTTGACTTCATAGATTTGGTTCACCAAAGTCTGAGCCCAGATTCAGGAGCTGAGTTCTGCCCCCCACCAAGCATACTCATAGCAATGTGCTTTTGTCTGTATCCGTTTAGCTAAGCTGGAACTATGCCTTCCAGAATTCCCATCCAGCTTTCAGGATTGGGCCCAAGAGAAATTGGAGGTAAAGAGGCAGCCAGTCTGCTGTGCAGTCTGATTCAGGAGGTAGGCCCCTGCAGCCCACACATGATCACTGACCTCCTGGACCATACTCCCCTTCTTCAAGTTCTGTGTAGGTATGCTTGCCATTTTGAAGCATGTAGACCAGTGTCTCCTGCAGGTACTCACATGGTGGAGTGAGAGGCAGTGAGACTGGTGGAGTGCACTTTGTCCTCCCTCTCCCTTCTCCAGTTTTCCTGAACTACA